TGTGTAGAGTGGATCAGGTGAGCTAAATCATCCAAACTCATGCTTATCTGATAACTAGCTAACACTACAAACCAATGTTTTGATGCATACTCATTAATCCAGGTAAGTAAGTCCCAAAAGGTCGATTCTGTTCATCTGGACGTAACGTTTTCAGTGGGAGAAACGTTTCGTCACTCATCCAAGTGACTTCTTCAGTCTCAGCTGACTGCAGGATTCCCCAACCTTATACAGTACATTTGCACAGAAACTGAAACCAGCCCACTGAATGAACAATGGGCTGTGAGGTCAGGGTTGGGGGCCATAAGCTTTGTCCCAGAACACGAAGCAAAATATATCATAAAAGGTTCTCATTTATGAATAAAAGTGCATTTTACCTGAAAGAAAGGAAAATTTTATTATTATTATTTTATTTTCAGAATGTCCCCCAGATCACCGTGAAAGTTAGTAATAAACAAAAATGGCTGAAATACTGTTGAATTGTATCTGTATTTGTTATATTTACAACTTACAACTGCTACTTTAAGATATATGATGCACTGAATCATAATGCAGGTAAAATTTACGTCATTCTGGAGCTTTGTTTGAGGAAATGTTCTCTTACTAGGCCTCCCTAAATTTTAACTGAATACTTCTGCTGTGAACAGTGTGTTTTGCAAGACCACGATGAAATGTGTGAATGTATGAAACGCTGAAACAGCACTTTTGTGTCCTCTTTGTCATAATGCACGTCCCTAATAACTACACACACACACACACACACACACACACACACAACTCACAAACTACAACATATAGTCAAACTATTGTTATGCAACACTGTGATAATGAAAAAGGATGAAATTAAAGAAGGCTGGAAGTCATTCCCTGTGTTATCTGGGATTTGCAGCGCAGTTTAGAACGAGTAGTTCCTTCACCATTAAAAGTAATTATGGACACAGGCTCCTTGTTTTACAATCAGTCACTCTATTTTGGGTCATGCTCTAAAAAACTCAAAGCCTATTTTGTAAATGTTGCTCATTCTAAGTGTGAGAAAAGAGAATTATCCAGGATATCCAAGCAGTTTGTGGCTTTATATTTATCATTTGTGGCTGTTACTCTTTTAAAATGTTGCTCTAAATATCTCTAAAATGGACAAAAATGCAGGTTTTAAAAACCAAAATAAGACTACAACACACAGATTTGTGAGAAAACAAAAAGCCACTATTAATGGTTCAACACGCGATTTAATGCATCCTCAATATGTTGAATGAATAATGAAATTAAATCAGAAAATAAAGCATAAAGCAATAAAGGTTATTATTTTTAGGAGCTACGTCTGTGTACTCTGATGGCCATATGTAAATCCTTTTTGGTTAGTCTTATTACTTAGATTAAGTTTATATCAATCAGATTTCACACAACAGGAGAGTAAATCTAACTGAACACACAAAATAATCTTGCATAAACTGGCAAAGTCGCGTTCTCCCTCACGCTGACTGATGCTGGAGGATTTTTCAGGCTGAGCAGATTTCTGAGGGCTGTTTGTTGTTTTTGGACAGATGTACAATCTGCTTTTAATGGATAATCTGTGAAAACATTCAGCGCTGCCGCACACACACCCATGCGCGCACGCACACACACACAGAGTAAAATCCATCTGCTATGCCTGTAAGCCCACTAACTCCTCGACAAAGCTGATCCTCCTGCACTTTTGCACTTCTTAAACAGAGTCTGAATCACAGATGCAAGGGTCACCACCAATGTTCCCTCTAAGTTTCCATGTGTCTGAGCAAACACACAAACTCCCTGAGCGGTCCTTTAGACGTGTGCACTGAGGTCACGCCAGCATCGAATCCATCCAAGTTACATGGTTTATTAAAATAATCAAATTACAGC